GGTGAAGTCGTTCTCAAAGTGCATATGGGGACCAAGAAATTGTATCGAATGGTTTTGAAATTCATTTCGGTGAGCCCCTGCGTCCGGAAACGAGTCGGCCATCCTCAAGCAGAGATTGTATGCAGTCTGATATGCCGCAGGGAGGCTGTCTGTCTTGGGAAGTGGATCTGCCATGAAGCCACGGAATTCAGCAAAGATAGTATGAAGAGTGGAGAGGGGGAGGCCTTGGTTTTGACTTGGACGTAGGTTGAGAACAGCAGTTGACCGGTTCTGCCAAGCGGGCCAGACCGTGGCTTGGGCGTAGGTGTTGGCGGATGGTACGATCATTAAGCGTTCAGCGAATGGAGTAGAGAGCGCTATAACTGATTCCAGCCGGCTTTTCATTACCCCAAGATGGACTTGGAGGACCAAGCGGGCTTCTACAGCGATTTTAGATAGTAAATAGAACAGACCAAAGCACACATACCCTTTGAAAATATACCGGTTAAAACTGGGGGGGCCTCCGGAAAGTCGGTTTCAAAAGCCGTTAAAGTATCAAAGGCGAACTGTTGGCGGTCAGGCTTGATGTCGCCACACGTCCTTGCAAGAAGTGAAAGCCGATTTCGTAGAGGATCCAGGTGAGATACATGTTTCGATCCTAGTCTAGTATGGGCGGCTATTGTCTGAAGGCTTGAGACCAGGTCGTGAGCAAGGCGAACGGTTCCTTCCAAGTTGCACACAGCACGAAGCAAATCCCGCTCTTCCTCTGCGAATTCTCTCTTTTTGCTCGGTTGTGCCTCGTCCTCGTCATCGTCACCTTCTTCGCGCGAGCGCTTCCGCAAAGAGCCGGTAGACATTATGAGGAACTAAAGTGGCGACAAAGCAACCCAACAACCCGCACGCTCGAACCTCCCATTCGGTGAGGCCGACGGAAATAGACCATACACCTATGAGGGTGGTACAACAACTTCTTTCAATGAGAAAGAGGTTGCTACCGTGTCGGTCCGTATCCAGAAAATTTGGCCACTATGCGGAAGGGAAGGAAGAACTAGTAGTAACATAATGGGTCCTCCTCTCTTCGTAATCAAATTCTCTGAGGATCTTTTCAAGTGTTTATCCTGCCCTTTCCAGAAATACAGTACTTGCTATAGTAGGGAATGGTTTGGTGCTAGGGTAATATGACTCATTCTGCAAGTAAAACAGACTTAGTCTTAAGAGGATACGGGATGCTTATTCGTTGGTCAGTGATCTTGAACTTGTAACGAACGGGCTGCGTACCAAGTAGAGGTTCAGCTCTGCCACTATCGCGTGAACTTATGGCAGGGTAATCAACTGAGAAGG